AACCTGTTTCACCCCAACGTCCGTCTTGATTGTTCACCAGACAAAATCTCTGCTTATTAAAACAGATTTCCACAACATGTACGTAGGTGACTAAGCACTTTCAGTTCACTCTTCAGATATCAGCTTTTCACTCAGTGGACATAGCACCTTCTTGGAACATGATGCTCACATTTTGTAGGGTGATGCAAAGCGTATAGTTTGAAGAATATTTGTGCAGATCCAAGATCATTCTATTAAAATTAGTTATTTACCTATCTGTACAGTGTGTAGGTTCTGATAACTTTAATTTGTTTTCAGAAGTCATTATTAAATACGAAAAAAGCAGAACCTGTAGCGGCTTTGGCACTCAACCCCTTGTTAAACCAGTAGAATAAATCGTATTGACATCCTTCGGAAAAATAGACTTGTATCAGTCAACTAATACAAATCGTGTTCAACAAGTGAGAGTATGTACTAAATTTGCAACTACATTTCTAATGAATTAATTATGGTAATTTGGGTATATGCATCCCTTATCAACGAAAAAAATGTCACTTTTATAACTACATCCTGTACAGTAAACTTACTTTTAAAATTCCCGTATTCAAACTACGATTGAGTTGAAGTAATTAAAATGATCTTTTGAAATACAAAAAAAAAAATGCAACTGTTTAGAAGCGACAAGAACATGAGCCATTCATTTCGAAAATAACTCAAAAACTGTAGAATGGCCTACAATCATTTTGCGTATAACATCATGTTATTTTGTGTACTAACCGAATGCCCGAAGTTTGATGACTTATAACCCCAAAGTTATGCGTTCGATTCCTGTGATGGGCACTGTGTAGATAGCCTATTGTACAGCTTTGCGCTAAATAACAAACACGTTCTAAACGAATTGAGAAATTCAATTGAAGAAATGAATAACATTCATAAAAAGGGTTTCAACATACTGAACACAATAATTTTATGGGTACTATATCAATAAAAGTGTTAAAGTAACGTTCATTTATAAGGGAGGTCAAAGCTCGTGACTTACACTCAGTAGCATAATTTCTTAAATGAAAGTTAGTACTTAAAACTGGTGAGTTATTTTTTATAAACATATTTCGTGAGTGCTGTTGAAATGGCAGCTTTGGTAACGGTGATTGCTTCTTTGAAGTATCCTGATTGTTGAAGACGTACATCGTTTATATTTCTATGAGCATGTGAGAAAGAACCCGATGCTTGTAAACTAGCTCAGTGTAGACGCGACTGACTACGGCCTGAATTAAAACAAGCGCAGAGCGACCAGGCGATGTGTGTACTGTCGGGCGACACAAAAGTACAGGTGAGAATGTCAGTTTAAGGCCTTCAGCCTGAGGGAATCTTGGTGATCTGCAGCTCGAAGCCACGGCAAGTGTGAGGCTAAGAGCCTGTGCGAACGAGCTATGCAAGAATGAAATTTGCACGAAATATATATTAAAAACTTAATTTACGTTTAATTTTGCATTTTCATCACAAAATAAAACAAAAAAATGATCCGTGTAAAACAAATTTTAAAAATATTGGAGAGAAAGTTTTTCAAGTTAAGAAAAACTAGTCTAGATTCGTAGAAAACAAAGGAAGAGAAAGCACAAGAATAATTGGTGGTAACAAGCTCAAAACACCACAAAGGAAGAGAAAGCACAAGAATAATGGTGGTTCTGAGCTTGTAACCACCACAGTGAGTGAAAGCCAGGATGGTTTAACAATATTATTGGCAACCTTCTCTCCAAAAACAATTTCTGTTAGTAGCTTAAGATAAGACGTTAAATATAAAAAACAAACAAAATAAAACAGGATAAGTCTTAAAATACACAATATGATCAAGTAAGGTGACATAGTACTTTTCCTCAAACCAAAAAAATAACAAATAAAAAATTTCAGTGTTGAAACACCTAGAGACTTTTTTGTGCTAAAGAAAAATGAGTAGCTCTTAAGAAGTATTCATGAAAAAATACACAATGTAAAGAGACATAGATGAGATAATCATTATTGGAATACAAGCAATATCAATTAAATTAAATAAAAAAAATTGTTAATTGTCAGTTATACAGTCAAGCAACCTATGTGTTTCTACTTAATTTTGATTATTCTGTATTTGCATCATTATTATGTTTGTTGATATTCTATTTGCTTCGGTCACAAGAAACTTTACCACTCTTTTTATTATACTATTAAGTTTTTTTTAAGGATATTGCATTCAAAAGTGTAGTTCCGAGAAAACTTTATACCAATTTGTCCTCTGAAATGATCTTGTCAAATTTCAATATTGTATCCACACTCACGCCAAATAGGCTCATAAAACGTTTATGTCTGTTATACTGTAAACGCTAAACTGGATAGCTCCTTGAAAAAAAAAGAAAAAGAAAGAACAATCAAGTTCCCATTGGTCTATACGTTAAGAGGAGTGCCACTGTACTCAGAAGTCTCTTAACTTCATGTATGATTTTCCTTAAGAATGAATGCGTGCATCTACTCTTCAACAAAAAGTGAGTGAACGACTACTTCTGACATTTGATGACGTGTGACAGAGACCTGGATGACCAGCGACGATCTGTACTTGTTCAACTGACCATCATAATATCCTCTCTTTTTCCCCTATACTCACCTTTTGTCGCTTGAAGAAATAAACCTCGTGTGTGTCACGCAATGGTGGACTTGGAATGAAGTGGTTTCCTGGTGCTGTTCTTGGCCCAAATATATATGTATCACTGTTATATGCAGCAGTGCAGTAGCCCTCCTTCTGTGGTCATACTAAGCGGAAACACGGATGGTCGAATTATTTTTCCTGATTCTCACATAGCTCTTAGTTGGCTCTAAAGCCACTTGCACATAAAACTTCCATAGTTGCAAGGTTCATCTTTTGTTCGTAGATTTTTGTAAGCGAATGTGATGCTGATCTTCTTTTGTAGCAATTTCCTGTGTTCTAAGACCCTGATATACCTGAATCGGCCTAATGGCCATTTACTGTTTTCGAAAAAACCGGAAATTGGCCAGACCCAGAGAGTATACTGTTTTTAGCAATACATATTCAGCATTTGGAAGTCCTCATAGTGACACAGATGTCGTTTCTCTAAATATATTTCCATATGTACAAAGTATTAATTTTTTACAACTCACTATGATGACAAGTGTAAGTTCTTTGGGAATTAAAATCCATAATGAGAAGACGATTAACTTCAATTTTAAGGACAACACTCTCCTTTCTTCCCATTACTAGGTTTAGCTGTTGGGAATTTTTTCTTTTCTTTGCTTGTTCGGGATGTGGGTGGGTTCAGTCCACTTTCTGACAGAATAAAACGCGCAAGTTGCTACCTTTCGATCTAAGACATGGAATCGTGTATACGTGTAGCACTAGACCTGAAAGCAAAAAATGAGAATCTGTCAGAAGGAGTTTCCGAATAACAATGAATGTTACACTTACAACACCTGTGGTCTAGTCTTAATATGTTACAATCCTGTCTGGTGCCACGTGTTTCATCTTATTTTTATTCTTTGGTAATGTTATCTCACAGCTGCAGAACAATACACTCCTAGACGGATTTTTACTTTTTCTCTATATTTTGTATTTGTGCGCAGTATATTACCTTATTATAAAGCACGGTTTAGTCGTCGTAGAACAGAAGATACAACACGTTACATAAATAGGTTGGTGTGAGCATTAGACCCATAACTAAATATAGCTTTACTGATTCAGTACAAATTCTAAAGAATAAATATCCAACCTCTGACATAAAGTCGCGTAATTAACAATAAACGTCTTATCGAGGAAGGCGTGGTCGTCACTGTCACATTTCATTTAAAATACAGCCTGGCTTCCGGTTTGATTTTATTGAGGTAAGGAAACGAACCCATCTAAGAAAAAATATGTTTTGTTGTTAAATGGATGGTCTGTGGTATCTAATAAACACACATGTTCTGCTACCTCTTGTCACTTGAACGTTGTATATAGACTAGGGCAATATAAGAAGTAATGATGTGATACTTGGATGTTTCAATAATAGAAAGTTCAGACAATTGCAAACCTAAGTATGTATTTGTTTTGTCTTTTTGTTGTTGGGATAATAGTATAAAGTGTTATTATAGGATGGTCAGATATATTGATGGTTAGGTACAGTTCGAGCTCATGGCAAGCGGTGATTACTCTCCATGAAGATGGGGCTGATTGAAACTAGTCGTGAGTATGCGCATTCTCTTTCCATGTCGATGAGGCTATGCATGCTTTTAACTGGCGTGCATCTTTCGCACATGCGCTCCTCTGGCCTGCAGGGGACACAATAGATGGCACCGTGCCTCGTGTGTGTTTGTGTGTGTGTGTATCCATAAAGGTGTCGGCATTTCATATCTGGCAGTTCAGTCAGTGCACGCTCGTCAAGCACGAATGGTGAATTGGTGGCGCGGCGGCAGGCGGAGCTGCTGTGACAGACAGAGCACACCGACGGGACTTTGCATATGAAAGGCTATTTTTGTGTCTCCGGTGGACAAGTTTTGAACTTGTATTGGGGCTGGAAAACAAGGTTAGAGGTTTAAAGATAGTTGTCTTGGTTGAAATCGGCGTTGATGCAACTTGTTGTTTTTATGAAAGCATTAATACTCGTGATTAGGAAGATTCTTAATAAACTAATAAATAATAATAATAGTAATTCCTAATTAAAAATTACATTAAAGATCCTAGCACGTGTGGAAGCTATTGGGATTAAAGTCGAAAGAACAGAATAATTTTGTTGAAATGAGTATAAGTAACTCACAAATTTATGAATTAAAAACTTATGTAATAAATATTCCATATATGAACGAAGTTAGAATCATATATATTGTTTTAAGTTAGAAGGTTTAGAATAACTACCAACAGGTAAGAGTGGCTGTTAATTTTTTGACAATCTCATTTGAATAGCGAATTATTTGGTCCAGAAAGTTTAGGACTAACCGCTCTAATAATGAAATATATTACTGTTACTGGTACCTTTTCTGATACGACGTTTTCAGAAAGTCGACCTTGCAAAGTCCTGCTTAAAACGACCTCAGAGTGTGCGTCCCAAAATAATTGCAACCAATAAAATGTCTGGTGGTGTTTGTTCATAAGCGATCAGCCATTGGCTAAGAACGCAATCTCCAGAATTAATTATGGCCAACATGCAGATATCCTTGAGCGGAGCACACGGCAGGAGGGCCGGGCTCTAACTACTTGGAGAAGGTGGCTCGCAGTCGGACTCAACAGTCGCGTGGAGAAGGGACAACGTACCAAACCTCATCCTGTCTCGCGGTGCTTGCGTTCGCGTCATTCTCTGCGCACCAGAGTTTCACTGTGCGCCCCAATCGGAGTTGAGCCATGACAAGTTGTTGTCGCCGGCTACATACCACAACAGGTTTGAAAGCTTTTCTTTGCTTTCTCATTCGTTACTAGAGTTAGTCATGTGTAGAAAGCCTGTGTTACAGATGATGAGACATGACATTAGACTTTCAACTATACTTTCCAGTATTTTTCCTACCGGTGACATCTCAGAAAGTTGCTTAAGCATAGTTTCTAGCCTAGGACTTTTTTGTTTCAATTTATTTGTTTTTCCTAATTAAGTTTTACACACAGATAAGGTGTATTACTGCGAGTCGGATTTATACTTTATCTTAAGCAGCTTTTGTTCTAGTCAGGAAAAGATCCATGTTTGTTATGTGCCTACTAACAGCAATAAGCATGACTGGTCACCCATTTATTAATAGAACATTTTAATTCACATAATATTTATAATAAAAAGAGAAACTAAATCATCTTAAAGAAGTACTAATTTGGGTTAGTTTTGGAAACCTTTTAGTCTAATATTTCTATGATGGGTTAGTTTTTAGAAACCTTTTAGTCTGATATTTCTATGATGGGTTAGTTTTAGAAACCTTTTAGTCTGATATTTCTATGATGGGTTAGTTTTGGAAACCTTTTAGTCTAATATTTCTATGATGGGTAAGTTTTAGAAACCTTTTAGTCTGATATTTCTATGATGGGTTAGTTTTTGGAAACCTTTTAGTCTAATATTTCTATGATGGGTAAGTTTTAGAAACCTTTTAGTCCAATATTTTTATGATGGATTAGTCAAACTGCTTTCGATAATTCTTCTATATTATTTGATTAGGATTTCAAAATATCACAAAGTTTTCTCTTAAAAATATTATCAACTAGAACTTTAATAACGCTTAATGCTTATTAACGAAGACTGAAAATATAGAATTAAATACTGGATAAAATTATCTCTTGTTTGACATTAAATGATTTGTGTAAATGTGAAAACTACCAAACTTTTTTTTTATTTATTTACATGTGAAGCTTGTATGTGACTTGTAATTACTGATCGATTATTGCGATACTTTCCATTCTTATGGCTTTACATTGAACGCATACAATACTTCATTATCAGCCGAGGGAACTATTCGGTATAATTAGCAACTCCCCTTACGACATCCGGTGTCATTGTGTTTGCTGCATTTAAGTGCATCATTAATTAGACTACAGAAAGCCAGTTGTAGCTAGGCACCGAACACTCCATCATGTTGGATTTAGTAACCATACCCAGACTGTATTCCACGTCTTTTGTTACTGCTTGACCCTGAACAGTTTTATTACCGTAACTGTCCGAATAGCATGTCGGTGTGTTAGCCCGAAGCCTCAGAACATATCTGAATCCTTGTTTGTAATTGCACATTCCTAACTTTATGAAACTTATCATACGACACATCAGTTGTTAGGCTACCCAATCAGAAAACCGTGCTTGATGACTTTTTGCTGTGAGGCCTAATTAGTAGGCTTAGTTGCGTGAAAAACAAGGGGAATTTACGCGGTATAACTACAAAGGATTATATATTTATGACCCTGTCTTCTCGTTGATGGGTCTATGCGAGCTTTTTTCATTGCTGTTTCACCCGCACTACAAACATAAAAGGTTGTTCAATATAATGCTAAAAGGAATCACTGTATGCATTACCTAATAATTGGTGTCTGGTCCATAACAGTTTTTTCTAATTAAAGTTATACAATATAGCAAAGTAGAGAGAGATGAATATAATTTTACCAATATGTTTGGTTGAAACCTTAAAATCAGACCCAGAAACTTAGAGCGAAGTACATCTCCAGTCTACCTTCTGTACTCCACCCCAACTTAGCTTTTCAAGCTGGAAGTTTATTTTTTAACCCTTGCGTCTATAGTAGGCGACCAAAATTGTCTTTCCTGCACCAAAAGAAAATAAACGCTATAAAATGCTATTTTGTTGTGACGACTACAACGTTACTGAGTTGTTATTAGTTGGATGTATCAAATAGTGGTTTCTAACCAGGGGTCATACATATACATATTTATGCATATGTATATAACGATTTCTACACTTTATTGTAAACCCATTCTACGTATGAAATTTCCTTATTCAACCAAATTATAATAATGTAGCAACAGTAGTCGACTTTCTTCGCCAACTATATTGTTTTTTTTTGTTTTTTTTGAGAAAAGTTCTTTTAACACCAACAAAAGAAAGCTTACTAGCAGTAAAGATAATTTTTATGGAATCTCTGTAGTACTGCTTCTATCTTTTTGTAGTGTGTTGCGGTTGAACTTGAAAATACGCTGGCTCAGTTTTCTCAGTTAACCAGTAAATAGGTGTACAGAAATATATGTATACACTACAGTAATGAGTCTTGTGGGTTTTTTTTATTATTATAAATAATGGTGTTCATGATCTTGAACTAAGTAAAATATAAAGTACCAGAAACTAACTATACTTTCGATGTCTGGCTAGAAAAGGCTCATATAATTAAGATGTAATTTAATTGGTTATTTGTCGAATTGAAATTAACTAAAAAAAAATGTATAAAATAATTTTGACTCGTTCAAACTATCTCATGAATCTTAACTCATATTCCATTAACTCTTTTTGATATTGATATCAGTGAAAGTTTGATATTTCGAAGATTGTGCTATTATTATGAACTTATATATCATTTAAACAAGCTAATGTTTTACGTAGAAGCGTTTGGAAATTTTATACGTATCTTCGTTATTGTTATAAGATATTAATCCTCACTAAGTGATTTTGATAATGCACAACTCTTTATTTTCAGTTGTTATCAGTTAAAATACAAGGTAATCAATGATTAATAATAAACCTGGATGTTATCTACAATTTGTATATATATATAAATTAACATTTAAATTCACCTATACATTACTGAGAATACAGACGAACAGATTTGTAGGAGTTTTCACTCGACTTATATGACAATGTGGTAAATACGTTTGTAAAGTTCCTCAATAAATCTATTGGACTTGTTGAGTTAAATATAAACTATATTCTCTTTAATGAATTGAACAGGTGTGATTTGATAGAATAAGAGTCAAAATGAGAGGGTACAATCAGTTAAAGTTCAGACATAAGAATGGTTTCTTAATGTTCATGTCATATGTATATTCTCCTTGTTGTGTAGTTCAAAATTTGACTTCGGGCGAGGTAGAGTCGACAACTTCGAACGATATATTAGATTAGATATATTATTAAGTGTTCTGTAAATCATATTTTATCATTAATGATGTGAACTGTGTTGAGAGTGGCCCAGTGATTAGCGTGCCAGACTATGAATCTGTGGGTTCAGGGTTTGCATCCAATTATTGCCAAAAAAAAAAGTTAGTTTTCATTTCAGAATGATAATTTTAACACATATGATACTTATCTTTGTGTGAATTGCAAGAACTGTCTATCAGATCATTGGGTGAGTTTGTTAAAGAAAACAACACATGCTATACGATGTACAGAAACTTGAATGCAACCACTTGTTTTGATTTTATTTCTTATCACTAAGCTAGTTTAAACCTAAATTGCTCATAGTCTTCGGCCTTGTTGAATTAACTCTTCTCGGACATTACTTATATTCCATGAATGACATGGAATTAGAATAGTCATAAATATTAAAGTGTTTGAAAAGTATCCTTTACTTTTTTCACCGTTTCTCTTTTTTCTTCATTTATAAAATCATTTTTTCTACCAATAAATCTTGTTGAATAATTCAGCATTCTTTAGCAGCTGAATATTATTATTAGTTAAGAAGGAAATGAATTAACATTGTGCTTAAAATGTTTTGAGTACATTTCATAGAAGTAAATAAGGATAGCTATTTGAATGTGATGCTCATTTCAAAAGTGTATTCGTTATGTGTACATCAACAAAAATATACGTTACGTTGTGTTTTCTGGCGTGACTTGAAACGTTTCACTAGAGTAATGAATTCAACTGACGTGTGTTACTTGGCCAAAGAAATGTTTATATAGATGCATATCTGGGGGGAAAGGTGGTAGATAGACAGTTCGAGCATTATCATTATACAGAATTATCTAAACTGTCTTTTGATATTCACGTGACCAGTTTTGTAGAACTAAGAAACACGACCACAAGTAATTAATGTAAGTAACGGCCCCTCACACCCATCATTGTTGAGTCTTCTTTTTCTGAAGACCTAGGGACCATCTTCAAGAAATGTTTGATTTTAAACAAGATTTAGTAGGAACTGGGAAGACTAGTCTTTCTGGACATTTTTATGACTGTCATTTATGTCTCTTGTCTGGAACTTGTTAGATCACACGATAAACGTTTCTTAGTTATTTACTTGGATAAAGTAGACGACTTCGTGACGAAGTTGTTGAAATACCTTATATCTATGTAGGTGAGCATTGTGAGTGTAAGAAATAGCGCTTTAAATTTTGATGAATTAGATAGACATCAGTAGTTTGTCAATAGACAGTAGACGTGTATCGTGTGATTGTATTAATGCTGATTTTATATCTCTGATGTTTTTTTGCGTGAATCTCTTCAATACTCTTGCTCAATTTATATTACTACGTTATATCTACCTGGTCGTTCCTCATTTCGTCAGCAACAACTTAGCAACGTTGTGCTATGTCATTAGAAATATGAGGAATTTCACCCGAAAAATTATTATTCACTGAGGGCTATGTGTCATTTACACACTGTTTTAAAAGGTTGCTTGTTTAAGGGATTGACCGTCTCAATCTACCTTTTAGAAAGCAGCGACAACAAAACGAATGCTCAGAATTAGGTTTCAAATTACTCCATGTACATCGATCAACAGTCACGTCATAGAATTCGAATGACAAGCCTTGTATACCTGTGTAAAGAAGGTAGAAAGAGGGCACATGAATAGCTGTATGATCCAGACAGAAATATGTTAGAATACACAGAACCATGTGAAGTTAAATTTAATAAAATTGCCATCGTGTAAAGCCGACTTTTAGTGTACGGTTTCTACCACATATTTTTAGTACAGGGATGAATAATTCATTTAGTTCAAGAAATTGCGAATTAACTTGAAGACATTAGAATTATG